CCCCCCACCCCGCTCCACCCGCCGTTGCCCCCCCATGTCGCCAATTTTATGCAACTTGTGTGTGCACTACTGTAGATTGCATAGACTTTATAGACTTGAGACGTTGAGACGTTGATCCAACAATTCGAAAGTGGTTCTCGCTTTCCTTGGTCGCTACTACTCTGTCGCATTACCTCGGTTTGTGTACACGCAACCGAGCCCCAAGGATGTCTACAGCAGTACGTAATCTGTTCGGTTGGGGCAATTATTGTTCACAACTCAGCTGATGCCGAGGGTCACCATGCAGACTGTGTTTGGGACGAGGTTGTTCCTTATTCGAGTGTTGACTCTCGTCGAGAAGGCAACGGGCCAAAACGCTTCCCACAGCTTGTGTAATTTCGCGAAAAAAAAAGGATTAGATGCCCGCCACTATGAACACGACGTCTTTGTGCTTGTGGGCTCTGCCTGCTGATGATGCTGGGAAGCGACTGGACGGAAATAATTGCGCACCATGCAATTTGACAAAATGTTGCCTAGGAACCCCACACCCAGCAAAGCCATCGCACCAATCAGTGTCCCGCCTCTCACCAACCCCGACGAGAGTCACGGGGATGTTTCATTTGACTAAAATATCGCAAACCTCGAAGAAAAAGTCGCAGCAAGATCATACCGGACGGCCTACGTCGTCGACAAAAGTCGCTTAGAACAACGATGGACTAACCAAGTCCCGATCTTCCCGTTCAACTCCGTCATCTCCACACTCAACACCGCCCCCAAGCTATCAAGAGGGGGCGCTATAGTGGCCAGAGTATATATCCCTCCATTTAGGTCACGCCATAGGATGAGAAACAATCAGCACCAACAATGCATTGGGGTCCAGGATTCAGAGAGAGAGAGAGAGAGAGAGAGAGAGAGATGTATTGGAAGGCGGGACGAAAAAAACGGATCCATACATCAACTCTGAGCTATACGGGAGTTAAGGGCTCCCTGAACCTCCGATAACCCAAGACAAGCACGACCAATGTCTTATCAATTATGTTTCCCCAGCAGACTACAGCCGCTTAGTCCCCCTTCATGAAGCTCTGCTGCTTGTACCTGCCGCCAAGTGCAACGACATTGACACAACGAAAAAAGTAACAGGGCGGAGCGTCGATATCTCCATGTTGTTTGCAGGCATCGTACGGGGGCTAATTCACAGCGTTAGCACACACGGGCCAAAACACATCTGGAAATTAGTAGGTTTGGGCGATACACCTACCTCCGAATCAGCCCAGCATTAGCGATTTGTGGCCAATAAATAGTTGAACACAAAGGAGGACTCCATCCCACCTGCACTGTTTCGATCGTGATTCATCCCACAACCGGTACCCTCCAAAGTATGGTGATGAAAAAAACGCGGTGCCAGTGCCATGGAGCATGTGTAGCAGCAAATACAACTGCGTCCCCGTCAACATTTCACCACGTGTCGAATAGGGGCAGACACAAGTTGCAAGGTGTGTGGTTTGCAAACACTAGGGTTCTCGCAGACTAGCAACTACACAGAACTCCCAATTTCAATCCTGGCTAACGTGTCGAAGGCCTGCGTTCGCAAGCTCTCAACAGTATACATCCAAAGGCGCCCCCCTTTGTGGAACCGATATCCTCCACGTTGAGACAGAGCTCTGGCCAAGAAAAAAACATGTCGCGACTTGCGATACAGCGAGCCTTGTGAGTACCCTTCTAGCACAAGCATATGTACCGCTTACCGCTCATTGCTCTTCTGGATGGCTGACAAGAGTGTTTGCACGTTCGCGCTCCACGTCCCGAGCTTCATTTGCAAGGTCTGCGAAGGTCGAGGAGGTGCCACCGGAAACGAAGGTGCAACGGAGGGAAGAAAGGGGTCGAATTCGGGGCTAGAACGTAGGCGATTGAGTGGCAGAAAGACTGTTCTTCTATACATACCATAGGACCAAACAATGTCCTTAGACTTATCACCCCTCCAGGATGGCATGCCATCTTTTCCACAACGTACACGCATCACACACACGATTTTCGGCAGAAAACACAATCCTTTGAGCAACAATGGTCAACGTCGCCGCTCCTTCACCCTGTCCAAAACAACGCTCCCCGTTGAGGGAGCGGCATCGCGACAGGAATGAAACGTGCGGTCACCTTCCACTGTGCGGGTCCGAAGACGCGGTTTGTGCATCGCCTGATCACCACGACTCGCTGCATCTGGTCCATCTTGGCCTCCATCAGGCCCGTCTGGATTGCCTGCAGTACCCAGTCCTCCACCTCGTCGTCCCCGGAAACCTGCAGAGTGTCGGCCACCACCTTTCGATGCGTTTTCGAGGGCACGACGAAACGGTCGGGGAAGCGTATTGTGTGAGGTATAGACGCCCTGGGTCAAATCAAAGGGAACCTGCGACGAGTAGGCAAGGATGGTACACATGTCAACCCAACGTACGCCCGCATGGCGTCGCACAGCGCGGCAAAAAATATATCATAGACCCGACGAGCCGTTGTTGTGTTGCCTCGACGGTGCACTGGTGGATCGAGCACGTTGAAGGCTTGGAAAACAACCGAGATTCTACATTCCTTGGCGACCGACTATCGCGTCCAAAAGCAAGTCAGTGTGTCTTACGTCCACGTCACCCAACGGGCAGGACAACATAGCGCGATATTCTTGTGGCGCTCTTCATTGGACGGGAGGTTGAGCTCAACACCATCGTTCACCGCTGCTATGTACTAGTACGTGGCCTAGAGTCAAGATATACCTGGTAGGGAATTTCTTCGTGTTCCGTGGCAAGCGAGCATAGCGACAGGAGTCGCATGCTGGACACGCAGCTGTCGTGGTCGATCTTGTTGTCTGCAAGAGTCTTTGCGTTTTTCTACGGAAACGGGGAGAGGGCAGGGTGGGCGAGTGGGGAAAGGTACGGAGGCACGAGATTAATAACTGAGCGAGAATTGCCTGATGAAAGGTCAAGGATCGAGCGATCTTCTGCCACACGTGGACCCACATGGCAATAAGGTGGCAGTATACTCTGATGGACAGACTGATGGATACACGTGTTGTCCAAGGCCATGCCGCTATCAATTCCTTCCCACATGCGAAGTACTGTGAGCAAAGCTACAGTAGTACTAGCCTACTGCTACAGGAGTGTAGAAGTACTTCAGTATCAATTGCAACCCCGTGGACTAGGAGGCGTTTCGCGCCTTTTTCTCAGGAAAGTCTACGTCTTGCCTTTCATCAGCCGTAATACTGTTGTGATAAAACCAAACACCCATACATGCACACACCTCATGGAAAGCCATGTACTCCCCAAGCTTCTTAACCGAAAAAATGTGCAGCAGCTCGTGAACTGCTGAGTACTTGGGGTCAACCTCCAGCTGCGCCACAGCGGCCATTCCCAGCAGGTTGTGCTGTTGCCGAGGTATGTAGTGGCGACGAGGGAACCAAGACGAAACGGAGGGATCAAGTCATCGCAACGGGTGCTCACGAACTGGGCACGTCCGTTTGGGACAAGGCAGTCGTGGGTTCTGCCACCAAGCTTTGTACACATCACGTCTTTACCTACAAAACATATTTCTATGGGTGGGTGGTTGAGTAGGTGGTCTGGTTCCAATACTGCTGCAGAACGGAGAAAATCAAACCCACGCCCCCGAACGGAGTATGCATGTACTCCGTATATCCCAACGGTGACCAAAGCACGAGAATTTACCAGACAATTAAAAAACCTATCAGCTATCAGCAACCCTACACTACATCTACATTGCTGATTAGTCCTTTGCGCTACGAACGTGACACTGCTGTTGTGTACGTAGAGTTTGCATTGATACCATTGACAAGCATAGCTGTGCTACACCAAGGCCATACTGTATCAGATGCACGACGGCACCCAGAAACGTTGCACGCTCGCTTCAAACGGAGGTTGGTCAAATACACACGAAGTCGCGCGTCTGAGCCGCTGAAAAGGAGAGACTCGACACAGTTCAAAGTCAAGCAAGCGTTCTCAGAGAGTACCATTGCCGGTTCCCATGATCTCGGCTTCGCCAAATTTTGATCCCAACCCAAGGATATATATTGTACCGCAATTGATGCCACAGCCGTGCCATGTTCCACGTCATACCTGCTCGGTAAAGCTGACGATTGGGGACTTGACGGCGCCGATGCAGCCCCTCACCGCCGCCGCTTTGACCTCGGCCAGCTCCGCGGAGGTCGCGCCGTCGTACGTGGCCAAGTACTTCATCAAAAACTGAACACGCACACAACACGTGCGAAGAAAATGGGCCAGGTGCAGACACGCGGTGAACTTCGAGGACCAGAGCACTCTCTCGAGCAGCACAAATGCAACCATCGATCGAGAGTTCCAACGGTGAGAATACATCAACAGTGTAAGGCAGAAAGGGGGTCACGGGTAATGAACACGAAGTAAATGGATCGCTCACAAACGGCGCGGGTATCGGCGTTTTCATAGTGATGTCCACAATCGTAGGCTACGTGTGAGACACTTCAATGACGAACGTTGCAACAGCAAATGAACCTCGTCCAGCAGTGACCACTGGTGCCAGGAATGACCATGACACAACGTTAACGAGATGCACAAATCATGAGGCACGAAAGCTGATCTGTTCCACCTCCGCCATATGCGGTACGTACACGGGGCATGCATTCTTCCACGGTGCATAAAGTCGTTCTCGATCATGAAACAGGCCTCGTTGGCCACCATATGGCCATATGGTACTATGGTACTCCGTCAGCCATCGACCACCCGCCCGTACAAGCATCGGGGAGGGGGGGGGAGACAAGAACATTACCTTTTGAGACTCGACGGCCTTGCCCTCGCTTCCAAGCGTGTCCGATATGAGCAGGTACAACCGGCGCTGATCTGCCACCGACAACTCCCACCCCTTGTAGATTCCCAGTGCAAGTAGCACAGCGGCAAATAGGCAGGAGTTAGGCAAGGCAGGTGCGAGTTTGTGTCCTCGACTACGATGTCATTGTGGAGACGGGAAAATGCGGGCCGTGTGGTCTCTTGACAAATGAACACCTGCAAATGGGACACTCGCCAGAGAAATTGGAAGGTGTAACATTCTAGCAGTGTATCACACTAATCAACTAGGTCAGGTAGGTGACGCGCCCTGAAGGAACCACGCGCTTACACCTGAAATGGGATACGCCACGTGCTACAGCAGCACTTCATAAAGCTCCGCCAAACCCCCCCACGAGGCCACCATCATCGCTAAGCGGTAAGAGCGGTACCCCGACTACTGTAGACACGACAAAAACATAACATCCCGCCGAGAGCTGACCTTGATCCAGTCGTCCACGCCTGCAAAGAAGGAGGAGAGCATGGCCACGAGTTTGGCCTCTTTAGCGTAGCGGATTACCAAGAGCAGAACCTCCAACTGCCCCGCCGTGCGAACGGGCAGCATGTTGTAGAGGTTGGTCACCCTGAAAAAAAGCAAGGCAACACCAACATCAGCTTCGAACCAGTTTCGAGTATATGACTTGAATAATAGGAGGGCTTTGGCCACACTGGACAGAGTAAGGGATTCAAATAGCACACGAAAGAGCACGTGGTGGAACGTGCCAAGCAACTTTCACAAAAGCACAACTGGCCTTTGAAGGCACATGATTTGTTTGCTTCAATTCACGCTTGACGAGCTTAACTCTTCACCAGAGCGCCAAGGCACAGCAGCAATCTGTTTCCAAGGGGCTAATATGACGACGCGCCCAAACGACTAGACCAAGGAGTACACTGCGACGCCCGACTACTGTCGCATGTCTCTAGCTTGCGACAGTGCAAACACGTTCTCCACACCTCTAGGAAAGGATGGCGTCCTGCTGTCGGCAGTCAATCGCAGGATCCCAACCTTCACTCATCATCTATAACGCACGACAGACCTTCCACTCTCATCTATGGCGCACAACAGCAGCGCCAACGACGCCCGAACCAACGCGCCAGAAAATAAAAAATACAACTTCGTTTTGTTGTCTCTCACAATTTTAGCCGAAGAGGCGCCCTGTCATCGACCTTCTCCAGGACCTTGGTCGCGATCTCCATCGAAAGCGCGGGCACCGCCTCCTTCGGGTTATCCGTCTTGAACAGGAGAGAGAAGAGGATGCCGAAGCACCCCTCGACGTCTGCGGTTCGCGATGGAAAGCAGCAGCAGCAGCAGCAGCGGCAGCAGCGGCGGCATCAGTGCCGGCACCCGGAAACCGTAGCGCGTTGAGAGATGGTCCCCCAAGGTTACCAACTGGTGTCTGCTACTTAAGTTTTCGGCGTCGCTGCCAATGTTTGCCAACCATCCTACGCTGAGGAAATTCGCACTGATTGCCGATAGAGGTGTGATCGACGAGTCCGGGATGGTTCCGATATGTTCACGACATGTTTTGGGGTTCGTTTCGCACAATAGCGATAAACCCAACAGAGTCGTTTCTCGTCTGTGCCGATGCCCGATGTCAGCAATAACTTGCAACTCAGAGACAGGGTACGCTCATCACAGACAAATACCAACCTACAACCTTCTTTCGCGGTGTACAGCACGCGGGCCCAACCGGTAAGACATCGGAATACGCACTCGGGCACTCGATTAGACACCTACATCGCGTGTGTACCACACGGCCCAGTGAACACGGGTGTGCGACCACTCGCGCAAAGACAGAAACATCGAAGCTCATTCATTTCCGCGCTGCTAGGACACAATTCGATTGCCACACGGCCAGCAAGCGCAACTACTTGAATGTGCGTTGACATTGCTCCCCATTCCCACCGCCTATTTCACATCACAGAGTGCATTCAACAGATTCGTCGCCCTTCGCTCACCGTCAGTTTTGCTCATCTCCAGGATGACGTTCCTTTGCTCTAAAACCTTCCGGATGAGATCCGGCGCGTTCGCGTTCGTTATCAACGACGTGCAAGCCTTGGAGAATTGTGCCTGTTCGTGTCAAGGGGTCACAGTGGAGGGAGCTTTCAAGCTAGTGCCGACGAACAACCACAAAGCACTAAAACAGCACATTCTCGCTTTGACAATTTGCTGGTGAAAAACGCGCAGTCATGAGTGCACACAACCAGGGCACTTTCCTCGACCGGTCGGTGCGGTAGCTGTTCTTTTCTTTTCATCATTGTGTTTTCTTTTTCCGAGTGGTTTGTACCCTATTTTTGTTCTTGTTTCACGCGGTGTCGTATGTGCCGGGTTTTGCGACCACGGGCTCCCCATTTTTGTGGACTATAGAGCTCATGTGAGAAACAACAGCAAATAACAACAACAACAACAACAACAACAACAATTAGCTGGGTCGCACAACCGTGGTTGAGTTCAGTTGGAATATATTTTTAAGTTCCGGCTCTACACACGTTGTGGGTTCGAATCTCGCCCCAGTGAACAATCATAACACGGCATTGATGAGCGCACGGTCGTGGGTAACCACGACAAAAAGGGACGGGAAATACTCTCGCGGCAAGCCATAAGGGCAAGCATCGCAAGAGGAATTCCTCCCGTGTGACCCCGGCTGGGAAATCAAACGCGTATCATGTTTCGAAAGGTGTCAGCAGTTTGCAGGCGCCCAGAATGAGTGGGACGAAAGGAACAGTCAAGTTAGGTCTGCAACGAATTTACTGAAAGACAGGCATGGCACAACAACGTCGTGACGGCCAGAGCTGTACGCCGCATCGGCCTTGGTCGGCCGTAGCAGCTGCCTTTGGCAAAGGACGAGCTGTGCGCAAGGAAATCGGGAAACTGCCGACCGTCGAATCGAAACCGTGTGCATACATGACGATTGTATCCTTTGGCGATGATACATGCTGTATTCTGCATGATGCCCCAATGCAACAACCAATGGATGCACTACACTTGGCCATTTGCAATCCTGTGCACAAGAAATGACAACTAAGTGGAGAGCTCGATCCTGCTGTAGCTGTACGCCCCTCATGGCGCTTCAATACCCGTGCATGTCGGAGAGGTGGCACCCACGTGGTAAAGTACGAAGTAGCGTATTTCTCCACAAAAGCGGGGTGCCACGGCCGAAAAGGGTAGTTTTGGAAACATCTCATCGAGGGCTTTCCTGGGAGGTATTGGTTGGTGTTCGAACCCTCTTAGTTGTTGTGAATAAATATTCTAGGACAAAAAGCGAACACGGGGGTGCGCCATCTCTCCAACTCGGTAAGTTTTCATCCTCCCACACTAAGTACTTGTAGCCGATGCCACAAAGCAGAATTTGCGTATTACTCCCATTACAGCAGTATGTCGGGGTACTTTACGCATACAAGACACCACTTCCTACTGCAATCATACCCCGACGACCCATCCGCGCGGTAAGCGTGCCCAAAACTGACGAGTCAAAGACTGCACCTGGCCTGAAGGCATCGCCTTGGCCACGGCCTCCACCAGCTTCAGCTCCGCCTTCGCGGAGAGGTTCACCAGCTGCGCCGACACAGCCATCGCCATATTCGCGCTCCTCCCGCTAGCGATTCAAAAACAGAGGATGGCCTGTACCGCCGAAACCATAAACATGGAGGAGAGCTCTGAGTTGTTTCTTTGCGCACTGATTCAAGTACACACCAGTGATGTACCTTGGAACGAATTCAGCATGATGGCGGGATGTGGCCCCAGTGAGGGCGGCATCAGCCGTAGCGTTGCAATGCGTTTGTTTGCCTTCATCGAGGGCACGCTCGACGGTGTGCGTTGTACGAAGCATAGTTGTCTCTTCAATCGTTCACACGAGTTTGGCCTGTGTAGAGAGCCGAAGCTGCACTTACGGTAAAGCCCCCTGTGCAATACTGCTGTGGGCATGAACGGAGACGTAGCAGCAACAGCTCAGGATGCGATCAAAAGGCGGGCAGGCTTGCTGTCCACCGCACAGCTTAAAAAAACGTGAGCTCACACAAGCGCACAGATCATCTAAACATGGCAATCCCTGGTTATTATTTCATCGACGCAAGCGAGGGCTTCTAGCTGTACTGGAATCACAAGAAACACGGCGTACCTTGAGGGGTTGAGCTCGGGTTGCGAAGGAGCTTAGCAGCCGGAACGCACAGCGGACAGCACACGGAAAGGAGAGCTGAGGCTAAGAAGGGTTTCGAGAAGGTTCCCGAGGCTGTTTATTCACAGCAGCGGAGGAAAAACAAAATTTCCGTACCGCCATCAGCTCCCATGCGTATCTCCGTCCGATTGCTCTCGTCTCTAGTCCCTCTCTCGTCGGCGAGAGATGGAGGGCGGGAGAGGTACTGTGGGATCCTCCATCGGCCTTCGATTTTTTTTGTGGGGTGGGACTCACGTGCGGCATTGAGGTCGTCGGACTAGCATCCAGCAGTATATTTTCGCAAGATAATGGTGACGTAAGACATCACACCCCTTGGACTGACTTTCAAAGCTCCATTACGAGACACCAGAAACGAAGTTATTGTTGTTTTCACATTAAACTCGTGTCAGTTGCTAATCCCAAAATCTAGCAAAGACACAAAAGAGTGAAAGAGTGGTGAAACGAATATGACGGCAGTAGAATCAGCTCGTCGAGAGCTTTCCGAAAACGTATCGTTTGATGTACACAACATCCTCTTCGTCCCGGAGTATTTTATTGAAAGTAGGTCCAAGCCAGTCGAAGAGGTGTTGATACCTGAAGTCACCTCTACAATGTATTACAGGTGTACGTAGACGACGGCAAAGGTTCCCCCTACAAGCCATTTACAGTAGTACATAGATAGGTCAACAGGATAATGATGAAGGAATAAAACGGACCTGGGCTTCAAACACTTGGTCAAGCGAAACGACTGGCACAACGTTTTGGCATATCATCGTTCTCGGGAAAATGTGGCAGAAGAGATTGTCTACAGAGTGATAGACTGGCGTGTGGCCACGCTAGTGTGAGAGCCTTGTGGAAGCCCCAGTCTCACAAAAAATTTCTAATCCGAAGTACAGGTACTGCTGTAGTTGCGTAGTTACACGTATATCGGCAATCCCAGCGTGTACGCGCGTGCGGGAGGACACACGTAACAGCTAGTGTTATTGCCCACTGCATCGACGCAGCAGACAACAAAGGGAGACTCGCTTGGCATTTGGGTGAAGCCCGCTAGCCCGTAGTCCACACGTCCACCATCCACCAGCCTCTTTCAAGAGTTCCCTCCTCCTCTTGCGTGGCACATCACACACGGGACATGCCCAACACGACCAAAAGGAGAAAGTCTCCTATTTGATGGTGAGCCACACCAGCACCAAAGAACGTGATGTCTACAACCACGTATAACCTATCATGAACACCGGCTGCCTCCGGGGGGTCACCGCGTGAAAATAGCATTGAAACAGAGCAGTATTGTGTTAGGGCAAAAAGAGACAAAACAACATGAGGAGAGTTCCGGCGGCTTAGGGCACCCTCGTCTTAAAATTGTCTCGGCTGCCATTTCAATCGACGGCGTGTGCTGAAGCAAAACGGCCTACACCCCACGGTCAAGTGCGGGTGAACCTTCCACAGGTCGAGACCCCCACGGACCTTCCTGTTTTAGCAGCGGG